AAAAGCAAAGAAACAACCAGGACTATTGACCTCTGGAACAGCTTCTAGTTTACGCTACTCAACAAGTTTCTGTATCATATCTCCACTTATTTCATAATATCCCAACTCCAGTTGGAGGATAAAGCAGCATTAAGGCCTGCTTGGTTGGAATTAATGTTAAATGAGAACAACATCCTGACATCTGTGTTGCGTTTGTCCAGGTGTGGATTCCATATGTATAGTAATGCATCCTCCACGAGTTTGTTTGTGCAACAACTTCACATCCTCAGAGACAAGTGTGACTCATGACATACGGGTTATGTATGATGTGAAAGTGTTCATAAGGCTTCTTTCAGGCTCTTCACTGTGGCAGAAAATGGCATGTGGAAGAGTGAAGTATTGACCTCACAGTGAAGGTGTCAAGAACTCACAGTCTGACCCCACACTGTCATTCGGCAAATTGAAAATACAGAGGGGGGCTTGTTGTGTACCGTAACCTAAAAGCTGTTCCAGAGGTCAATAGTCCTGGTTGTTTCCTTGCTTTTGTCCTCTCTTGTATAGTACATTACAGCTAAAGATTGAACCTGCGAGATTTCATGTTTTCATTTGAATAGTATGTATGCACAACACAACTATTAACATTCAAAAATAAAATGAAGTGGATATTGCATCGAACGATGAGGCGGACATAATGACTTGAAAAACACCAGAAAAAAACGCACAATCATCATTTAATATGAAACGCTTTTTTATCCTCTGCTAGTCCTTAAAAAAGCACCACAGTTTATTTTAGCACTGAAAGACTGAATAAGAACACTATATTTGCTCATCCCAGAAATCCTTGGGAAACATAACACAAACTCTACAAATTCTTTTATTGTGCATTCATATCAGACTCTATCTATTCAAATTCATGGCTCTGTGATAAAAGCTAGGAAGAAAGGCTAAGGGCTATGTGTCAAGGCAGAGCGGTGGTCTTGTTTTGCAGTGAAAGAGTTATACATGGGCTCCTCCCAGTCTCCAAAAGGACCGTGCATAAGATTTTAGAGCATGACTGCATGGAAAATCTGCTCTAATGACAGCCCAGGGCAAGGCTGTGTCCATTGTGCTGCTTGTTTACATGGCTTTGTGAAGATAATTGTATCAGAGGGAAGGAGAAAAGGCTTACGAACTGAATGGGATCTTTGTCAGGCCAAGCTTCTCATTGTACTAAATGAGTTTTAGAGGCGTAAGTAGCAAGTCATGGCTAAATGATGAGTAAAAGTGTAATGATTGCTTCCTTTAAGGCGTTATAGAACCACGGTTATAAAGAAACAAATGCTCTAATACAAAGTAACAGCAACAAGTATAGCACTCCAGTAAGATGGTAAATAAATAAACAATATGCCTGGTGGTTAATCAGTGTAAATGAATTATTAGGTGTCTTGAGGAAGCAGCACAGGTCACGGACAGTTGCTGAAAACAGCTTTTGCATCTTTCTTAACAATCTCGCTGAAGGTCCTGAATTTTATTTTTCTTTCTTTTTTTCTTTCTTTCTCTCAAGTGTTTCATTTCAGCTTGCTGTCTTGGTTACCCTGGTACTCATAGAAGAGTAATATTTGCAATAGTAGTGATCAAGTTAAAGAAATAATGACAACCTAAATGAAAAACCTAAGATGTATAGTTCCCGTATATATAGCAACTAATGTTCTTCTTGCTCATGTATCTTGTTTTTTCATTTTCAGACTTGAGTCATTGCTATATTTGTCCTGCTATATAGAAATGTCACAGAAAGAAACAATAAAATAAGTCTAGTTGAAAAATGTATTAAACATTTTAAGTTGGAGGAGAAAATGAGATGGGAGTTTTTCGACATACCCTAACTGTTAAACGCAGAGCTAGAAAAGACTAGCGTTTGAGGTTAAAAAGTATATAAATTGTAAAAAAAATGTGTAGAAAATAACCGAACGTTTCGCTAGACAAGACCCTTGTTCCTCGGCTGGGATCGTTCAGAGCCCTTTGAAGCTGCATTTAAACTGCAATTTGGAAGTTCAAACTCAGGGGCAGTCCATTATATGGAGAGAAATCCTGAAATGTTTTGCTCAAAAAACATAATTTCTTTACGACCGAAGAAAGAAAGACATGAATATATTGGATGACAGGGGGTGAGCACATTATCTGTACATTTTTGTTCTGTAAGTGAACTACTCATTTAAAGGCATTTAAGTGATTAGAGAATGGTATTGATAAACTCTTAATAAATCAACATTTTTTAAATTATAGAATTTAGTGTGCAACAACATCTACTCCATGCTCCCATTTCATATTGTGAGCTTGTGATCAAAGAAAACTAACTGCTATGACTTTTACAGTATATTACGCCATATAATGGAGATAAGAGATTATAAAGAAAAACAGACTCTGATAAGAAAAGACAATAAAGCGAAAGTAGCGTTCAGTCAGTCAGGGCGGGACTAGTCTGGGAAACGCTCGTGCAGAAGGGAAGCAAGAGAGAGTCATTACACGAATGTTTGGAATTCCACTTCCGTTTGGTGGAATTTAAGAAGTCTCCACAACTTTAAATCAGCTATTCGCTCTGCACGTCTAGATAAGAGGCGCATTTATTTTGTTGCTTATCAAATGGCTTCTTCGCCGCAGAAATCACCGTCCTCACCAAAATCTCCGAAGTCGCCTTCCTCCAGGAAAAAAGATGAAACTTTTCTTGGAAAACTTGGAGGAACTTTAGCAAGAAGGAAAAAGGCAAAAGAAGGTGTGAATTCAGCTTAAATCCATGGATAGCCGATCTCCCTCTGATGTCTTTGATATATCCGTCTTATATTTGATTCTATGCATGTCAAACAAATCTCTCTGCACTTTTAAGCTCGTTGAAGTTTAGCCATTTTATCTGTCAGATTAGGCTACCATGTAGTTCTGAACACTTGTACTGTATATTTGTGTCTCATTTTATTTTTACAGTGTAGTGCGTGATACAGAAATGCAGTTTTATTAAATACGTAGCTATACAGAAAAATAAAAATGTAACATACTGTATAGTAATTACTGTAAGTTATGCTATGACATCGTGAAAAGTGCTTTTAATCTCAGAAAAAAATATTTCTTTCTTTCTTTTGTATTTTTTTATAACAATTTAAAGTGTAAGTACAGTTGCTCTGTTGTTGATATACAGTATAGTCTACTCAACTATGTGAGTGCTTACAAAAGGCTGCACTTCTCTCCTGTGACCATATAAGGAAGAGAAGTGGCTGTCAAATACTCATTGTGAGAGGTTGGGTAAATAATAAGAAAATATTATTTCCTTTATTTTCTATTTTCTACCCTATGTATACTGTGAGAAACGTTTCATCATTTTGTTATAAAAACACCATTTAACTTGATTCAGATTAATTTCTTTTGGATATAATGATATTTCAGAGTTTCAATGCATTCAGTTTGTCTTTATCTGTAATGAAATTCAAATATTTAAAGATTTAACCCTGCGCTGTGCTAAAAATCCTTTACCTAATTTAACATTTTAAAATTTGCTTGTAAATCTCAAATTAGATTCAATCTTTTTGTCAATTTGTTTTCTTTCAATTAGCACTTCAGTTCCCCAGTGCAAAATAAATTATATATATATATATATATAATTTTATTTTTTTTGCACTGAGAAACTGAAGTGCATAAGCTCAGATCAATGAAGTCTGATCAGTCATTTACAGCCTGTTTTTTTTTTTTTTTTTGAAGGGCAGCTGTTATACCCTGTGTAAGCAAAGG